CAACACATGTTGAATTTTTTGAGAGATGAAAAATGATTTTTCTTCAATACCTAAAGATGGAAATTTTCCATAGTGAAAATTCTCGGGATAACTCGGATGGAAGATGTAATTTCCCCACATTGAATTTCATGGATTTCCTCCACTCTATCTCTACCTCTCTTACGCCGTTATCGGATACCGCCTCTGATTTACTTCCGTAACTGTCGCTACCAAAGTCACTGTTTAACCTTTGCCATAAGCGCTACGGATCTCTCCTATAATCTCTAATGACATTTTTTACATGCGAGAGCATGTAATTCAAAAAAATTTAAAAGCTTCATGGTGGCGACACCATGAAACTTTCCAGCCCATGCTTTTTCACTAAATGATCCCTCCAGTGTAAATTATATTACACTAGTACTGCATAGTGAAATTAATTTTCGCTCCTAGTAATCGACCTGGACATTTTAACGAATAACTTTAAAACTTGAGAGCATTCATCTAAAAAATCAAAATTTATTCAGCTGAACCTCAATGTGACTAATGTTTTCGACAAATTTTTTCTTAACCCACTGCAAACACCGGTCAAAGCTCCGGCTATAGTGGAAAAATTATTTCCGAGATGTGTTATCCTAAGGGTTGTTAGTTCTCAAACTTTCGGGTGCTCGTAAATTTTCGAAATAGATATTCAAAATTGATGAGGATATGGAAGTAATCAAAGCGCCTCGGGGGTTATTGCGGAAATTATAGGTGAAGAGTTTGAATTAATGGGTATCGAGTTTTATTGGCTTTCGCGGGATATATTGCAACGGGTGTTGATGAGTGTAATGTGCCAGTTTATGTTTCAAGATGAATCATCGTACGAGTACATAGCATGTGCCACTTCATATCGTTATATTTCCACAAACGTTGACTTTAAGGCTTCTTAAGAAACCATTCTGCTCAATAAGAGTTATTAGATTACTCTCTCAAGCTCTAATGCTGATATCGTCTTATTTTTCATAGTTTTTTTTTTTGTAAATTTCTCGGAAACCCTCGGAGACTGACGCGAAAAAATATATCGTTTATTCGAAATATTTTCGATATCAATACGAAGACGCGACCTTGTACAGGTCACAAGGAGTAACGAGACACGGAGGCTGTTTATGACTTAAGCAATTCAACATGTGGACCAACCCAATAGATGAGGGGCCTTATCTTAGGGGCAGACCTCACACCCTAGAGTCTACCCTAGAGTACACCCTAGAGTGTGAATGAATCCTGTATTTGGATTTCACCACTAAATACATGAATAAAACAAATCTTTGAAAATTTTTTGAAATTTAATGGAAATTAAAAAATTTTATTTCCATTTCAATAAAATTTAAAGATAATCACTGAATTCATTATTTATATTGAAAATCCAAGAAAATTGGGTTTTTCTAAGCGATTCTTCATTTTTCAATGAAATTTCATGATCATTGTCAAAAGTTGACGGTAAATATACACTTGAATTTTTGATAGATGGAAAATACCGAGAAATTATTGCTTGAATGCTCAATATTTGCACGGTTTTTTCGTGCCATTTGGACCTGAAAATAAAGAATCATCAGAACATCCAATAAATTGATGAATTCATCGATGAAGATGTCTACAGAAATTTCATATCTTTTTGTCACTGTTACAAATTTCAAGTTTTTTTATTTGAAATTTCAAGTGTGATATTCCAACGGTGTAGATTCTGTTGTCGGTTATGGGCATTGTTCACTTCCTAGCCCTTATTCCAATTTGTCATCTTGTGAATTTGTTTCTTTGTTTGCAGATGAAAGATTACCACAGGGAATATAAAAATTTCAAGTACAGTCTAACGAATTGATTAAATCTCATGAATTTTAATGGAATTTAAGAGAAGATTCAATTTCTGAAGTTTAGAAAAGAAAGTTAACACTTGGGATTTATTTTATAATCGTGTTCACGTCGGAAACATAATTCATGTTGAAGAAAACTAGAACGTCAAATAAGTTTCACTCAAACAGAATTAAAAATTTATAAATAGAGGCTAGAGTTTCAAGAATAACTGCATGAACTGACGATGACGAGCTTATTCCAGCAATCTCAACGTAACGATGATTGAAAAAGTCACTGCCTTCAGTTTGTCATCCATTCTTAAATCTAAATAAATATGATTCAACCTTTTTTTAGTTTCTCATTAAGAGATACATACAGTGTCATTACCCACGAAGGTGATTTTCGGCATTTTTTAATGAAAAATACTCTGGGAAATGTTTTTACATTTTGAGAATATAATGTGCATAAATAATACATACATAATCAATTTTTTAAATAGAAAAATCTAATTTTTCAATGTGACGATTTTTGACGAAAACGATTTTTTATGAAATAATTGATTTCATTGTTGTAGATATTAAGGTTAACATTAGGCTGTAGTTGAAAACCATTTGCGACGTGCACTTGTGTAGTCATAACTTTTATTGAATTTTGGATATTTAAAGGATCTAATTTAATGAGATGAATATGATCCTTATTATGAAAGTAGAATCCTTATTATGAAAGTAGAAACATCCTTATTATGAAAGTAGAAACACAGAAATGAAGTTTGCCCGAGTCGAAATATCTCGAAACGCGTAGGACTGGTTGCTCATTGGTCAACTCGAAGCGCCAAATTCACATTCAGCACACAGAGTGCGCAGTAGGTCTCGTCCGCATTATGAAAGTGGAGACACACAAATGAAGTTTGCCCGAGTCGAAATATCTCGAAACGCGTAGAACTAATTCCTCATTGGTCAACTCGGAGCGCCAAATTCAAATTCGACACACGGAGTGCGCGAGTGGTCGCGTATTCCATCACATCATAGACCGAAGGACGAATACAATCCACATTAATTCAGGCAGTACTTAGTATGGTACGCAGAATATGTCGATTTCTTAAGGTACACAAAAAATAATAATAATTACCAGCTCGTTTAAGCAGATCACAATTCCCAATTCTCTGATTGTATATTTCAAAGTTATTACCGTTGACCGTTTATTCAGATAGATTACTCACTAATTTATAGTAAACGTGGACAATTCTCAATATATCAGTTAACGACCTACTTCATTCAATTTTGATGCCCCATCACTCCACCATGAACTAGCTTCAACCGATTAATTCTCATTACAGAATATTCCAAAAAGCGGATAATGCACTCAAATATTAATACTGTGTGAAATCGTAACATAATTTTCTCCATATTGAACATAATCGAACAATGTATGCCTGGCACGCCTTTGGGTGGTCAATTATCCTCCGTAATGACCAGAGAATGAACTTTATTTACCGCAGCCGAAAATATCATAGTCAATTATTTATGCATAGTTTTGAATTATGTTATTGTAATAATTCGTGATATCGATCCTGCGAATAGGGAGCATTAATATTTATTGTATGCTAAAGGGCTGTTAGTTCCACGTTCGTGTGAAATAATAAGCGTACATACATCTCATGATGATAATCTACATCCGAGGAATATATATTACTTGTTTTAAAATGCGATGATATTGTTATTCCATGATCCAAGGAGATTATACGTTAGAAATTTCGTGAAATTTCCGACCGAAGATCGTCCGAATTTTTAATTGAGTTTTGAAATTTAAATTAAAACCGGTTATTGAATTTCTTATTTATTTTATTTTATTTATTTCAATTGATTGGGAATTCATAAAAATCGGTGCAGGTTTTTTCAATTTTCAAAGTTTTTTGAGGATCTGAAATTTGAGAATTACCCGAGCATTCAAGGAATTCACGACGATGATGATGGTGACAGTTAAAATTAGATTCTACAAAATTCCGAATTAATTTTTTTTAATTTTTTATTGCTAAATCTTATTGCTGTATGTAAACAATGATTAGTTTTTATAAAAATTAGTGTGAATTTAATGAGAAATTTCACTTCAATAGATTTAATTGACGGTAAATAGTATACATCGAATAGTGTGAAGATAACAATCTCTATAATTGAAAGCAGAAAAAATCCAGCAAATAATCAACACCGTGGATGAAATAATTGAGTTTCCTCTGAATAAATTTCTTTCTCCATAAAATCCAGAAAATTTCATCAACAGGATCGATGCGTCATATCATGCAACCTGAATGATACGCAGTTTGTTGATTCAAATCGAGTGTGTATTCAATCGACGTTACTAACCCCAGCAAAAAAAAAAATTCACCGCGTTGAAAAAAACTGGCACGTGCAGCAGATTGATTTTTCATCGGGCGTTATTAGCATGACCGTGTGGGTGGATTCAACGAGGGCAGGCAAAATAGTAGACCACCTTGCCAACTTGTCGAATTCCCCGAGGAATATCCACTTTTTCCTGCCAAATAAAGCATTCCGTCTCTAAAATCCGAAATTCCTACCCCTCTGTCTCAAGATGACCAGTTTATCTTCTCCCCCAATAGTTCAAATATTTTTCATATTTGTATATTACTGTGTAAAATATACGAAAATTTGAGTCGAAGAACTGAGGAATATCGAAGGAAATTCCCTTTTTCCAGTTCAATGTTCATTTCAAATTGTAATTTTAGAAATTGACACGTGTGATTGAATGATTTTTTTTTCAAAGCTTAAAAGCGGAATTTGAAAATCAAAAATAAATGGTTGAATTTCTCTCTACGGATCTGATGTTATGGATGACTAAAGACGTTCCGTTTTCCCCCAATTTCCCCTGATAATATCGACTCTTTATATTCCTGTATAATAATTTCCACTAATTCGAAAACATATTGTTAATTCACCGGCAAAGGAACAATAATATGGAAAAATTAAAGACTAGAATTTTGTCCCTCACCTGATGAAAATTAAAAAAATATATTCCATTTCCTTCTTATAATCAAAGTGTCTGGAAAAACATACGTAATAATAATGCCGTAAACGCTTCAATTAACGAAAATTGTTGATATTCCATGACTCATTAACGGACTTATCTAATTAATATGGAATCAATAACACCAAATAATTATAATCAAATTGCTGTTTCAGATTTCCAGAAACTGGAGCGAGAAGCGCGGATATGTAGAAAATTGCAGCATCCAAATATTGGTGAGTCAATTATGACAAATTAATAGTTAGAGCACTCACATCACAGGTAAAATTATTGTAATGAAATCAAATTGTTGCATAAACAATACGTAGGAGAATACTTTAATCGTCAGCAGGAATTCCATCCCTTGAATTTGAATTCAAACCTATCCGTCCGATTATTCATTACTGCGTATCAATGCAAGTTTGATGTACTGTGAGATGGTGAATAATTGGTCTCAATTTGTCAAATACTCCGATAAATTCAAATTGAAACGTTTTCAATTAAATCAGCTACTGAATCCTTCATCAATGATCTTACCAGAGGCTATAGGATCCATTCGATTATTCAATCATTTCAATAATTCGCACTTTATCATCTTAATATTGGCGGTTCAGTCATTTCTTGGTAATTATTTCGTGCAATTATTACAAAAATCGTCTATCTTCACCTATTTATTTAATATAACTAGATTCCATCACAAAATTAGTCATCTCCTATAAGATTTAAAATTATAATAAATTATAATTTGCTTCACTATTGCAGAAAAAAATGGCGTTGTGAGGATAACTTTTCACATTCATTGCTCACAGAAAATAAATATAATAATATTCTGTAATATAATTAATATATATTTCGCATATACATGGTTTCTCGTACGGCTCCCACTAAAAACTTTTGGAGATTCACCATAATCGTCTTCCTTATTAATATATTATTGAATTTCTTTTAAAATTAATATCTATACTTGATTCAAACATTTGTTTTTGTATTCAATGAGGTTCTTTGTACACTGAGGAAAGAAAAATCGTCAATCAAATATTTACCGATTTTTCGACATTCCATTTTTTTTTCTTCGATTCAAGTCCGAAATATTTATTATTATATTTAAATATTATATTTAAATATTCTTATTTATATTTAAATATTCTTATTTATATTTAAATATTCTGCATTGGAGTGCAGATAGAATTTTCGAAAAACAAATTAACGTTGAGGACAATGAATTCGTAATTTCGTGAAAAGATTCAATGAATTGTCAAGTTGGTTGCTAACGAAAATAAGTGGAAAAAAAGTTTGCAAAAAAATTAAATGAAAAATCGATGCGTTCAAACATTCTCAGTGTAATGTCAATTACTGAACTAACAATTTAGTTGGAAAAAAATAATATTCACCAATTAGGTATTCTACATGAAGGGATATTTTTAATCGCTTCTAAATAGCCGAATTGGGATCACAATCATAATCCTTCCTCCAAACGGAAGGATAAAACCAACGATAATGATGGATCGATTCGAAAAAGTTGTTACCACCCAGATTATCGTGGATTTCATTGCATCATCCTCGTTAAAAGTAATGAGGCAGAACAGGATGAAAAAGAAGAGAGAAAGATAAACCGATCAACTACAGTTGTCTGGCAAGAGAACTACGTCAATCCCCTGAATCATGCTACCCCCACAGAAAAGCGAACAAGGGATATGCCACTTTGATATCACATTATTGATAAATAATAATCCAGTCTGACGGTGGGTGGAGGATGAAATCTTGGGTCCTTGCGAGAATCGATGTAGGAAGTCTGATGGCCTCGAAACACGAAATGGGACATAACGCAAAGGTCATTACTTGCTCCTTGGTATTTAATATCTCATCCCCAGAATAGAATTGCAACAAGCCCCTGACTCATTAAAATTCCTGTTATTCTAGTTGACAGTGTGATTGAAAGTTCCGCAAATTGCATAAGACAAGTTTTATTTTTCTTCAAGAATATGTATAGCGGTGAATGTCCCTTAAGGATGTTCTACACGTTTTCGACAAAATTTAGAAACTACAGGCTGGAAAATATTGTTATATACGAAGAGAAAAGTCCAATAAAAATTACTCGCACAATCGTCAAAATTCTTGTACGTAAACGTTTAAAATTTTTCTTTTATGTTCCCATACAAATTCACCTGAAACTGCGCTCGTTTGTGGATTATGTGAAATGTTGTGATGACAGTACATATTGCAGTAGATTAAAATAAAAATTTATCACATATAAGTAGAGTTCACGCTAAGTAGTAATATATTTTGAACAGTGCAGATTAGAACAAGCTTTACGTACATATAAAATGACAAATGGCCATGAACCTCCGATCTATATCTCGCACTTAACAACTAGTTCCGTAACTTTTCTCGAAGATTTCTTTGCGTGTACTATTGTTCTCCGCGGTTTTCAATCATAGCTGTTATAAAAATGTGTGTACATAGATGCCACTCCAAAATGGCGCACTAAACGAACAGAACAAATAAACATTTGCGTTGAAAGACTCGGTAAAAAAAATAGGAGAAGCATTGACCCCGAACGTAAGCCATCAATTGATTCCCTTGAATCGACAGCCGCGTGGAAAAGGTGAAATACACCCCGAAATTCGATCATCGCCCTTCGAGCACAATTGCCCAATGGCACGAGATCACAGTACCATCTTTTTTCTGACAACCTCATGTCCCCCTCGAGGTTCACACTTAGAGATATATCTCTCAATGTGATCTCCCAGAATGCCTGTGTCATGACAACCTCCACCTCCTGACGTACACATGCACAACATCAGTCGATATCCAGCTTCTCACCCTTTGTATCCCCCTACCTCCATCGTCCACTTCCTCTTTGCTTATTCACAATGGGCTGACTTTTGCGTTTTTAGTCACGTACCTATGCACGATGACGACGAGCTCGCGTGACTTGCGTTCTCATTTTTCATTATTACCGGAGACATGCTCCACTTTTATTCCTTTATCCAAAGAAAGAAATGTAAATATCTCTAAGAGTTTTGGATTTACTTGAATTTATTTCAATTGTTACATGCATTTTTTTCATTATCTACGCGCTTTATTCCTCTTTTTTTCCTTGGATCCTTGATGTGCCTTTTTTTTATGTGTCACTTGATTATGGGAATGCCTGATAGGGACAGGTCTGTAATTTCGCGGGATTTTTTTTCTCCGTGGAATAATGACTATTTAGGGTCCACTGAAAACATTTGTATTATGTTGCCACCGCTTCTCTGTTATGTACAGTAATTGTTAGTATTTACGAAGCGAATGCGTGCTACAGGGCGCTGTAATTATGAAAATCGTGATTAAAAACTGTTAATTTAAATGAGTTCGAAATTCAAATTAACCGCCTCAGGCGGCTGAACCAATGAGGAATAAGCGTGACAGACTTTCGAGATATCGATAGTCTCGATATTCCTCCTTTTTAGAATAGGAACAGACTTTCGAGATATCGATAGTCTCGATATTCCTCCCTTTTAGAATAGGAATTTATGCAGATCTCTACTGAGAGAATACACAAATGAACCAATTGTATGTAAGACGAGAGGCCGTAGCGCGCGCCAGCGCGCGGGTTTGAAACGATCTCTGTAAGAGAGTTGCGACTTTGTAATTTCGCGCCACTTTAGCCAGACCAATAAAGAATCGTAGCTTCATGATTTCGAGATTTTCGAGATAATCGATTGTATCAAGCGTGTCCCTTTTAGAATAGGATTACGAGCACTTGACGCGCGTTTGGCGAATGATCAATTGACATGAACCATTCAATTTTCTTGAATTTACAGGTCAAATTAGAAATTTAATGAGCATTTTTAATTGAAATTGAATATTGAATGTGTTTTTCACGCATATGGTAGCAAACTTTTCCTCAGTTTGTTAACCTCACACGCGTAAAAAAACGAAATTAACCCCGAGGCGTAATATACGGTAGGCCACCTTGCGGTGGCGTCACTGTACTAGCATCTCAATCTCCTCTTTCGCATTTTTATCGTAGCACTGGTCGAAATATGTGGGTTAGAATATTCCGACGAGAGTTATAGCACCATTACGACTATCATTAATGAAATACTATTCGCTGAGAGAGAATTATTGTCGGAAATGAGTATTTGGAGAGCTGAACGGAATACATCTGGAGAGTTTGAAAGATATTCCTCTATATATGACAAAGTTAGAACCGACATAATTGAATTAATTTGATTCTAATTATTTTCTATTCAACAAATCTCCACTCATCCAGAATGATTAATAATTCACCTTGCTTACCTCACCGGTTCTCCCTGAATCAACGCCCTTTTCCCTCCAGCATTTCCAATTAAATAGACCAATTGAGTGCCTGAAACAGCTCAGAGTTAACCAAGCAGCTTGAAAGCATCAAAAGCACAGGCAGTTACAAGGGTGCGGGTCTGATAAGGTTTCAGCTCCACTAACTATATCATGGAGGTCGTACATATCCATAATTTTAACACACTCTGACCCTCTTTGAATCGATCATTGGGGTATGCTCATCGGGCATAAATGTGTTGTACAGAACACGTGGGAAATGACTACCTATTTCAACTTTGAGATTTCTCCACAATGTGTTACAATGTCCACAGTAATGATCGACAAACCTTCGGGGACACGATTGACAATCTGCATTCAAATGTTTATTTTATCACTGTTGAAATGATTCATTGGACTGTATGTTGATAACTGATGGAACAGTTGAATTGGAACGCAAAGATAAAACAAGAAAATTGGCGTTTTATGCCGAATGAGAGGTAAATATGTCGAGGGAGAGATAAATGTGAGGGAATTCTCAGTGGAACATTTTTCTTTGAACGGAAAAACATGTACGTAATTACCAATCGACGGCACCTTTGGCATATTTGTATATTCAATGACGAATTCTTCAGCTTTATCAAAATATTGAATCTACAATTTTGGTACCTCTTTTTAATAATTTTCTCAATATGGAAAATATATCCGTTGTCATCGACAGCAGCAGACTTGTGTGGGTAGAGCGTTGGGTTTGCAAATATTAAATAAATAGAAAATTTGGTTGAGGGAAGAAAAGTGGTTGGATCGCTGAGTTGGCACGCAGAGGACTCGGGTTCGATCCCTGGTCATGGTGAAACTGAATTTCCAACACTCTAATTTACACTGTTTCATCGTCCGAGTTGTAGTCTCGAGAGGGAAGACTACCTGGCCAAGGTCTTTCCCCTGAAATTTTTCCTTCGGGTGTAATTGCAGTACAGGAAGGACTGTGTAAGGAGATAAAATGTAAAAACCCGAAAAGCTATACATGGAATAAATTAAATTCAATTAAATCCATTGTGAAGCTGTAAAACGAATTCAAATTCAAACTCCAATTTATTCAAACATTAAATACAAAGAATTTTGAAAATAAATGTTATACCCATCAATATAATATGTAATATAAATAAAATATGAAATATAATCTATCTAAAACAAATTAACAAAACAGAAAATTAGGAGAATAGGCAAAATAGTCGGAATATTTCGAGGGTTTTTCAACAATAGCTTTTAAAATCAAAGACATGAAGAAGATTTGGAAGAACCCTTTTCATAGCTATCAAGCAGCTGTATAAAAAAACTTTTCGAAGAAATTTAGTTATCTCTTATTTCAAAGATACTATTCATTTATGATACTTCACATTCCTCTTCTGAAGTTCATATAGTCTTACATATTTACTGTGTTCTCTCAATTACCTTTATATACGATCGTCCGTTTTGTATTGGTGATTCTTCCACCCTGTGTCTTAGTCTTCATGTTACATTTCAATTATCTTCACTTGTCCTGGAATTTATTCAACGAAAATGGTAATTTGTAATTAAACTAGCCCAATCATTTACAGTATACATTCCTGTTAATTTTGTTGAATTTTGTCCTCCGTAATAAATCTAATGAATCCCATCTCCGCGACCTCTTGAATCGGTGTAATACTTTATTCAAGTACATTTTTCCCTTGATTCCCTGGATGAAAGACTGAAATGAAAAAATTGGCCAAATATTTTTGGAGCTAAATGAATGCCTAAAATTCCTCAGAGCCTTTTAAATCTCTCTGTAATTTTTGTCCCACTTGAGGGTTGAAGAACAGAGTGGAATTTTTTCTCATGGCACAATGGCTTTCATGTACTTTTTCCATCCTCGAATGGTGCAAATGATACTTAATGAAAGTATTCTCTCCTAAGGGTACTTGAAAGTGAAAATAGAGAAAGCAGTAATGAAAAATGAAAAGACAAACGGTGGGAGAAGGGATAGAGGGATCGATTTTGGGTTGGCGTGCTTGGATACCAGCTTGAACGCATCGAGGTGTGGCTTGGAGGATCGATAACGACGCTCCGACCAAGCCCGACGTTACTCTCGGGACGCCATCGTCGGAATTGTCGGTGACTCTCCACAGTGGATAGTAATCTCGTTCCACCATGCTACCTTTCGGCTTTTATATTCTCCTTCCACTCGGGGCTAAAAATCCTCCACTGCAACCCACTACATTTTCCCTCTTGTTTCTTCATTATTTTTTTTTTCAAAACGAGTATGATGTTGCTCTTTACCAAAATCTAGGGCATTCTGATTTCATACGAAATGGTCATTTTTGCTAATAACTTAGCAATATCCTTCCCAATGGTTATGCATTTTAACATCATATTCAAAAAGTCATTCTGAAAGTAAACAAGACTGCTCGATTATGAGCAAAGGGATTGTATGAATTTTTTATTTTACTGAAAAATATCCCAATTTCAGGAGTTTCCAGTTTTGACAGACTGTATTTTTTTAATTCGTCCAAGTTTTTCCGTTTTGGGATGTTCAAGTGAATATTATTTGAGATATCTAGCTGAATTTGGGAAGTAATTAATCTAACCACGAAAAATTGTGCACTTAAATCGAACGATTGGAATATTTCCATAACAAGAAACTTGTCCGTTTTTGTATTACCTATGTTGCATGCAGACGCTAATATCGAGACTCGCAATCATGATGGACAACAAGCAGAGAACCTTTTTCTGAATGCCAAGCATTCCTCGAGTCTTGAAACTGAAGAATGGAATAGCTCCAATAAATCATGACTAATCCGAGGATCCGGATATCAAGCTAAAGGCAAACACTCACGTGGTGCAATCATTCATCCTCATCTGACATTTTCCATTGCGTGATGATCACATTCATCATTATGCGTAACTCAGCAGCTCCATAAATTCTGCATGAGCCATTGGTCAGACTGTGATCAATGGTGAATTAATTCTTTTCGCGATTGATCTATTACACTCCTCTCAGAACAAGGGGCCGTGGAATCCGATCCTTTGTGATGAAAGCTTTCTATGCTATCTCTTGAATCAGACAAAACCCGAGGAAGAACAAATCAAATTTTCCTATCAACTCAGGGTTCTTGATATTTACTAGGTCAATTTGAACTGTATTCTTCCGGAATCGTGTTTCATTCTCTCGTTTCTCGTTACGAAGATGGATAATGAAATTCATTCCATTCGAGAGGATCTTATGGGAGAAAGCGGTGTTAGACACCCTGGGGTTGGCGTATCGTGTTACCCGGGTAGAGTTGATATTACTCTTTATGGAAATATTTGTATTCAATGAACGTTAATGCACGTCTTGTTTCTGCACTAGTCACCTGGGGATGCGAAAGGATTGACCCCGCGAGGGAAATATCAAGTACTGTAGTCTCATTAGAATTTACAACACCTTGACCCGAGAAAATGCCAGAATCCAATTTCATGTCGTGGTATATAGTTAGGAAATACTGACAACCAGTGTAAATTTCGTTTATTATTTCGTCATTCGTCATTTTTTCCCAAATATTCAAGTGTATCGTAGTCTGTGGGGATTAACTCAGGTTAATTGACGTTAATTACTCTGCAATCAGTTGATTGTCATCGATTTTCATTGAAAAAATAGTTGTGAATGGAATTGAAGGATTGTGAATACATTCTGGAGAGGATTATTCTTGATTAGAATTTTCGTGATTCAGCTGAGGGTAGTAAACTTGGGTTTCGTCCTGCGTGTCGATGAACAATCATTAGATTGCGTCGTATAAATCATATAGCATGTCATGATGACCGTGTAGGAGGGGCTCCCGTTATGTTTCGTTCATTTTCACTAATAGAAAATAATTATTTCTTATCTTTGAAGTACGATTTCCAATATATCAGCGGAAAGAATCTCTGGCATTACCACGGCACTTACGAGAAAAAACTTCCTTACTGAAGTGATAAATCTCTTACTCAATAATTTTCAAGAAAATTATATCTTGTAGTGAGAAAAAAATGAGGAATTGTTGGATTTGAGAAAAAAAAACTTGGGAGTAAATCACTCAGCTAGACTTGACTTGAGTCACATATTTATTATGAATAAATTATTATCATCATAATTATCATTTGAACAAGTGAACAATTTCATGACAGAAGGGTTTTTTGTTTTAGAATAATATATGATTTTCTGGTCCATTTTCAAAAGACTCGTCCTTCGGAAAAGTGTTGAATCCCTTGACCAATTTTTTTTTTCAGTATATATTATTTTCAGTATATATATATATAGTATATATCAATACATGTTTGACAACGCTGAGAAAAAATTACTTCTGCCAAATATTTATTTACTTACTGGAAATATTTACTTTTCGAACTATCTTGATTAGGTTTCAATTATGAATATTTCAATCATGATATTATGTTCCTCTCTTTTTCAATGACGAGACCGACCGGGCGCTACATCGCGCTGTAATTATAAAAATCGCGATTAAAAATAGTTAATTTAAATGAGTTCCAAATTCAAATTAGCCGCCTCAGACGACTGAACCAATAAGGAATAAGCGTGACAGATTTTCGAGATATCGATAGTCTCGATGTTTATCCTTTTTAGAATAGGAGGATAGGATTTAGAATAGGATCATCAATTTTTAATATTTTTATTTTCATAATTTTCATGATTAAAAAAATTTCTCTAATTACCGTAAATAGAAATTTGGTAAAAATCCATTTTTTTTCAGTGTGGATAAGACTTTAATTATTGTAATATTCAAGAAGAATAGCCCAGGAAAATCCATCATATCCAAGAATGAACTTGAAACTTAATTATTGAAGTTCAAAGCAATTGCAATACAGTGGAATTTCCCAAACTTCTGTCCCTTGACATTCTTAACCCGAAGAAGTACGAGAAACTACTATTAAATTCTATTACTAGAATCAGAATCAACTCCGCCATTTCAAACGGAATAACTACATATAAGACACCAGACTTCCTGCCGACGACATATTGTAATTAAATTCTTTAATGATCTGTAAAAATCCTGTACTAAGTACTCTCTCCTCTTCATGTTACAGTGCGATTACACGAAAGTATACAAGAAGAAAACTGCCACTACCTCGTCTTCGATCTGTAAGTAATACGCTTCAAAGATAAATTTCATTACTCCCAACGGAAGATGAACAAATTGGAAACCAGAATTGCCGATTTGAAATTGAAATTCACTGAACTGTATAATAGTAACTGAAAGATTTCTGTACTAGCACGGATTGAAATTACGTGGCTTTCACCTTTTGCTTGATTCTCACTCCTCTCAAATAAACATCATTCACTCATTCAATGTTGTCGGTGTGCTCACTGATGTGTTACGAGAAACATCAAACATGAAAGATCAAAGATTCATTCAGTTGATTTCCGAGTTATTACTCTATATCGCCCTCAATGAAACACCCAGGCAAATGCATTAAGGAAACTTTTCTTTTGTCTCAGGAAATATCCTAGGGTAAAGAGAAAAACAGGAGAGATGGTTATCGAAAGGATCAATCATCCATGAGGATTAAAATAAACCAAAACAAGACACTTTCTAATTGTTGCATTAAACTCTGATTTGACTCGTTCGATTCCTTCATTCTCCTGTACCCGTGGGAATGAAAACATTTTAAAATTGTCCTGAACATGCATTCTACTCTCTAAAACCAACACCTTCGGAAAATTATACATGAAATTTCAAGTTAAAAAAACTTTATATCTTTAATTCTTGCTGAATTCTTAATTAAAGAATCATTTGATTTTTTGAATATTCCGGTGATTCTCAGTTTCCAGGTTCATATGCCACTGAAAAATCGGGTAATGTGGAAAATTCAGGAAATTATTCTTCGGACTTTTCAATCTATTGAGAATACCATTTGATATTGAATTTTCATTATAAGCATAAAAATTGAAGCTTTTATTGAAAAATCAATTAGCGTTCAACACAAAAACCTCAATTTCCCTGAATTTTCAGTTTTTAATCGAAATTTGATTAAAAGCCTGCATGTATCGTTTTCCATGCAATATTTATCACGTTAGGGATCAAATTGTGTTGCGAAAACCACTCTAGTAGTTATAAAAAAATAATCATGAAAAAGAGGAAAAATTGGTGACTAGTGGTAGCTGGAAATATTGATACTAATTGATCATCCAAGTGTGCATATAAATAATTAAAAATACCAAGTTCATCAGCTGCCATGATGAGAGAGGAGAATACATTTGACAGTCAATACCAATGTCGAATGAAAATGGACTGTCAAATGGTACGAATGATAAATTGTGCATTTTTTTATTTTTCTGTCAGCTCGGCAGATGATCCCTTTGAGTCAATATCTCCATCTGCCACCCTTCAATATATTTCCCTCTTTTTTTATAATTATTTGTTCATGCCCATTGGAATGGTTTCCGCAAACAATTTGAAGGCCAAATTGAAAAATATCTTGGGATAACAAGATAAAGGTGAAATTAACGTTTATGTCATTGCGGCCGGTAAAACGCGTTTCTAACCTCGCTTCGCTCGGATAAAAACGCGTTTTCGGCCACAATGACATAAAATAGTATCATAGCCACGGCGAAAAAAGTGATTCTGACTCATGCGCGTTATAATCCTCATCTCCGACTCTGACTATAAAGTCGCATTCATCAGATTCCCTTTTTCCGTCCTACACTGAGAGAAATATTCAATAAAAATTACGTGTATTTTCCGTAATTCTGGAGCGAAATGTGGTTGTCGGAAATTTTACGGAACTGTCACGTAATTTTTATCTAAAGTCACGGAATTTTTCCGCGGTGTTCCGTCATTTTTATCTGAATTATCGGTGAAAAATAACGATACCGTCGTTGAAATTTTTCAAATCAAAACTCCGTAATCGGTAAGTGAACTGAAAGTTCCGTAATTTTTACTAAATATTTCTCTCCGTGTAGACGTGAAAAATACTATTACGTTCGATGGACAGTACATGCGGACCTTACATCCCATATTTATATAATTAAAAATGCTCAAGACTTTGTCATTGAAATTTCAACAAATTTTTCACCGTGTCGTTATGAAGTTTCGATTGAGATGAATCGCCTGAATGTTGATGAATTTGCAGAGTCACTGGCGGCGAACTCTTCGAGGATATTGTCGCCCGAGAGTTTTACAGTGAAGCAGACGCCTCTCACTGTATACAACAAATTCTGGAAAGCGTCCATCACTGCCATCACAATGGAATTGTGCACAGAGATCTCAAAGTGAGTTCTTCTCCACGTCGTTTATTACTGGCGCATCTCGAATGCTGGATACGAAAATTGTCAAATCTTATAATGATAACTCATGCCCTTTTTTCTTTTTTTTTGTGTGAAATGGAATACCCCAGCCTGAAAATCTTCTACTCGCTAGTAAAGCAAAGGGTGCGGCTGTGAAACTCGCGGATTTTGGATTAGCTATTGAATTACAGGGAGACGCACAGGCATGGTATGGTACGTAATTCAATTTATTATTACATTTTCAACATCACGTGGAGGAAAAAAAATATCAAAAGATAGATCCTTCGAAACGATATGGCAAATACCTAGAGGAGGAGATGGTCGGGTTCATGAACAATCGGAGGCAAAGTTTGAAAATGTTGACACATACTTACATTCACACCACCATTTTCCCACTTTTTTGGGGTATAATGGATCAACATAGCACAAAAAATAGAAAATGAAAGACAAATTTCATCCAAGTGCACAAGCCAAATCATGAGGAGATAGTTGGTGTTCTAAAAAGTCTAGGAAAGTCATCAAAAACTCATCTTGAGGGCAAACTAACTTCAGAAATAGACAACTTTTATTCCAACAGTATTATATATTGATTTATTTAGTTGAAAAGGTTTACCGAAATGTAGCATTGCTCCTGTTACTTCCCTCTACCTCTCGTTTGACGAGTATCATTCTTTTAGGTTTCGCCGGTACGCCCGGATACCTAAGCCCCGAGGTACTCAAAAAGGAGCCGTACGGAAAGCCAGTTGACATCTGGGCGTGTGGTGTTATCCTCTACATTCTTCTTGTTGGTTATCCACCATTCTGGGATGAGGATCAGCATCGGTTATACGGTCAAATCAAAGCTGGAGCTTATGACGTAAGTTCCAAATGTTAATAAACCTGATTACATGCATCAATTGCTGCATAATTCGTCTCCACAAGCTACCCGCTAGCCGGTTAACATATCCTTATTCCTTATTATAAAAGTAGTAATACCAAAATGAAGTTTGCTCGAGTCGAAATATCTCGAAACGTGTCGGACGTATTCCTGATTGATCAACTCGAACCGCCAAATTCAAACTCGGTGCACGGAGTGCGCAGTAGGTCTCCTCCCTTTTATGAAAGGAGAAACACAAAAATGAAGTTCGCCCGAGTCGAAATATCTCGAAACGTGTAGGACATATT